TTAGAATCCATTTCTGCACATACTCCCCAGGATGCTGCAATGTAGTTTAGCAAAATCTTGCCATTCTTTCAGTGGAGAAGCTGTATCTTCCCAGATCACACTCTGTACTTGCCCTGTTTGAACATGTGGAGTTCTGATGCCAGTTGTGAGTCTACTGGCCATAAGAGGGGGCGGGTTAAGTCTTGAGGAGAAAAGGTATCCCTTGCAAGATAACTGCCCTGGGTGACCTTATCAAAGTGTCCTTAAGCAAGGGAAAGTGAGTATTCCCACACATAACTTGCAAGCTGCTTCCACTGGCAGGAGAGGCTCAGAATAACTCAGAGGCTCCAAACTTTCAGCTTCATCTAACCCCCTAATATCCACATTTTAACTCTCTTTTTTTGGAGGCACAAATATGACAAATTTTTTATTTCAAAGTCTCAAATTTTGACCAGCAGAGCACCACTGACATGGGCACCCTGATAGAACTTTATGATTTGGTTACCAGAAATGATTATGCCACATACAATTAAGGCTAACCAATCAAAATCCAAGTTCCCACTCGTTCCTAATCAATGGCCTAACTTTCACACAAGAGGTTGGCAAGGCTGTAAATTCAACTCACTTTGTAATTATGCAAACCACACAATTAAATTTTATGTCATTTTCAGCAATATATACCCTAATTCACCTTATTTATTTATAAGAAATAAATTTACTATTTTAGTAAATAACTTATATTATTATTGGTGCTTATTTCTAGTTAAGCTCTCTGGTTCTCTGATTGTGACCCATCTTTAAGGGTTGTTTCTCGAGACCACTCCATTTAGGGTCTAATCAGGTGGAAAAAAAGGAAGTTAACGTAAAGAATTGTTAACTAGGTAATTTGGAGGTAGCAACTGCAGGAAGCAGCTACCACTATCAGGACTAGAAAAACAAAGGGAGGGACTTCACTGGTGGTCCAATGGCTAAGACTGCACTCCCAGTGAAGGGGGCCCAGGTTCGACCCCTGATCAGGGAACTAGATCTCACGTGCCGTAACTAAAAGATCCCACGTGCCGTAACTAAAAGATCCCACGTGCCGCAACGAAGATCCCATGTACCACAACTAAGGCATGGAGCTGCCAAATAAATAAATAAATATTTTTTAAAAAAACGGGAAAGGTTGGAATTATTTAAACTTAGTAGCATATGGCATGAGCTCTTAGAGCTGCAACTCACACCTCTGCAGTGGGTAGCTGCTTGCCTGGTGTCTCTGAGCTTGGAGAAGGGTTCCTGGTGGGCTGGGGCACTCCATTCTGGATGGGCCTGTGTGAGCCCCAGCATCTCCACCCAGCCCTCAGCCCCCCAGCGGCTGCTCTCTGCGGAGCCTCCGGGTCTCACCCTGCACCTGTGTGGTTCAGGATCGGCCAAAGGTTGAAGGGGAATTTCTACACCGACTTCCAGGGTTCCCTCTCTGTGGTTCCTCCCTCTTTTGTGGTTGCCTCCCCACAAAACCCAGCTACCTGAGCCCTGAACTCTGATCTCTGCCTCATCTGTCCAGGAGACCTTCTACCATCTGCTTGGGCTCTACCTCCCCATACTGTGGCCTGGGAAACGTATCTAGGAGGAAGGTCTGGGTAGATGTGGGGCTCACATTACGTGTGTCCCCTCTCAAGGATCACAGCCCCACGATGGAAAATACTATCCAGGGCCTGCACACAGCTGTTTTCTTTATCTGTCCAGCTTTTACAGTTGTTTATGGCACGAGGGCAAAGTCCTCTACCATTTTACTTGGCTGCTCAGCATCCGAGGCCCCATCTTTGCAGAGCTCTACATCTTGTATGTTCCCTCTTACACAGTACTGGATTGAAATCTGTGCCCCTAGAACTCCCACCCCTCATTCATGGGCTTCTCTCTGGAAACCCACCTCTCCTTCTACTCTGGAATGGTCCAGCAGAGGCCTGGAAATAGGGCTTTCATATTCCCTCAGCCTGGGTGGGGACCTTCTATGCCTGGCCTGACTGTCATGCTTGAGATTCAAGGGTTATGGCCTGTGGATGGAGGGTCCTCTGCTCACGTGAGCCCCTCTCCACTCCCGGAGGGCAGGTTAGATATGAATGGAGCCGTTCATATCTACATTCACAGGAGGAGTGAATCGGTTGGGACGTTCACACCCATGTTAACAGCTGCTGGGTGTGTGTGCATCCACCCTGAGTGGGGCATTAGCCAGCTTTCCCTGTGTGCTCGCTGGGAGCAGAGGAGGTAGACACTCACGCCACGGGAGCTCATACCTGCCACGTGGCAGAGGTGCCTCAACCCCGTTTCCCGCCGGGAGAATTCGTCTCCATTTTTCCCATAATCCCATGGGCCCACAGGTGTTGCCCACAGTGTTAACTGGTGCTCTGGGAACCAGAGTTCGCTGGGCTATGGGCTCGCCGGCAACTTTTAAAAGGAAATGGATGCCCATCACCTTCAAAGCTCTGGAATGTTTTCTCCCACCAGATACCACAGGCTCAGTGTTGGAAAATGAGTCTTCTGCTTTAATTCTGAGTCATGCTTACAGAATGCTCTTCCTACTACTTAAAAGGCATGTAGATCATTGTAAATGTGCCTCTGTGACTGTGTATCCCAACCTGCACTAAGCACACATTAACTTCATCGTTATGACACCATTCAATTACTGCACTCTCAACGTTTGCATTAAAAGCTGGCAAATCATTCCTGTGTGCATTTATTTGCCAATCTCGACCAGCTTTTGTCCAGTCCAGGTCTCAGGGCACTGCACCATGGGAATCGTGGCTCAGTTTGAAGGACTTAGAGATCTTCTCACCCAATCCCTGATGCTTTGATTCCCCTCCACACTCCTTCCTATCCTTGAACTCCTCCACTGACAGGGAGCTCACTACCTCTGGAGCAGTCCATTCTCACTTTGGACAGCCATGCCCATTTGAAAGTTTGAACCCACTAGGAAGGATGTTTCTGAAAACCAGCATGGAGCTTATCTCTTTTGTTTTCAAGCCCTATTTTGTTCCGTTTAACATGATAAGTGTTTCCTTTACATCATTAAACTATCTTGAATTTCTGCACATATACAAAACCACATATTTACAAATATGCCTTCATACTAGACATGGAATTTATCATTGCTATTTCACTAAACAATATATTACAAACATCTTTTCATTGCAATTAAGCTACCTCTCTTTCCTCATTTTCAATGCCCAGATAATCCTTTATTGTTGGATATACCATAATTTATTTAATCATTGCCTATCAGTGGGCATTTAGGTTTTTTCCAATTTTTTGCTGTAGTGACCAACTCCAGAATGAAATCTTCACATATAGTGATGTTTCCTTAGGAGAGGCTTATAGAAGGGTGTAGAAGGTCAAGGGGTGTGAGCACTTTTAAAGACCATTCCAGGTAAAGACAGCGGCCTCCTGGTTTAAATCAATTGCTAATAAGTACTGAGAGCCATGTCGAGTGCTATACCAACATTATTATATTTAGTCCTTATCACCATCCACCACCACTCCCATGGTGCTTGCCTGTACCTGTTCTATGTATCTGCTTGCAAGGGAAGAGCTGGAGCAGGCCAGGCAGCTGGCCCTGCTCTGACCACTACATAAAGTGGCCTCTGCAGGGGCTCCTTTTGGGAACAAGGACATCTCCTGAAAGCTGCAAACTGGAAAGGACCTTGAAAAGCAAAATGGACATCACACAAGAGTACTGTAGCTGGTCTTCCCAGACTCCAAGAGGCTTCCTCCATATCTTCTCTAGAAATTCAGAAAATAAAGAAAACAGCACAGGGCAAATGAGGGCTAGGGGGTGAAGGCATGAAAAGCCACTCGTAAAGTCTGGTCAACAAGTCCTTCTTTCCATCCAGTGTCTTCATTAGGCCACACATTAAACTCCAGCAATCAAAACTCCCTTGGGTTTTTTGTCTGCGATCCTGGCCAAGACTGGGCCATGGACGGTGTGCAGAGTCTGACTCTGCACAAGCACAGGGGCCACAGGAATAAAAATCTGACTGAAAGAACCTGTTCCACTGCGTCTTCCCAACACGCACACCCGACTATGCCACAGATACGCTGCCGCTTGTGCTCCAGGACATCAGAGCATTATTTGCAGTAGCAAAAGTACTGAAAACAACTGGTTAAATAACTACGTTTTTGTGCAGTTAAACACTTTGCAAAGTTAAAACGTCCAAGGACAATCCAAAAGGTATCACCATCTCATCACAGCCAAAGTCACGGCTGACTTTGAGATGCACCATGACTTTATGTAGCATTATGGTGGAAAAAAGCCAGTTAAACTCCACTCCATTGATTGTATTTACAAGACGGTCAGTTTCACAGAAGGTAAGAGGTGGGGAAACTATGGGAAATACCGTGGGTAGAAAAACCAAGTGCAGAGTAATGTGTAGAGCATGCTTGTGTGTGTGTGTGTGTGTGTGTGTGTGTGTGTGTGTGTGTTTAAAGGGAGGGGCCATGCGTGGTTTTATAAACATACAAAATTCCTGGAAAGATACCCAAGAACCTGATAAAAGGTGTAGCCTATTGAAGCTGGGAGGTGGGATACTGGGTCATAGGGTGGAAGGGAAGCCCTCATTTCATAGTTACATCCATTTTTAAACTTTGAAAATTTAAACTATATATTCCCTTTTTAAAATAAAACTTAGAAAACTACTAAATGCAAAATAAAAGAGCGCATCCTTCTGGATTAAGTGGAATAGTACCTGGAGCTAGCCTCGGATCCGGAGACCGTACATCCCATCATTGCTCTACCAGAGCGACCTCGGTCGGGCAAGTTCCCGCCCCGACTGGGTCTCCAAGAGCCCACTGGCTGTCGGAGAGCAGGTCTCAGAACACCCCTCCACCTCGGAACCCGGGCCGCGCTAGTCCGGGGCCTAGCTGCCGAGCGCGGGAGCCCCGCGGTGCAGGCCCGGCCAATCAGCGACTGCGAGGCGGGCGGGGTGTAGGCGCCGCGCTCGCTGAGCGGAGCTCCAGGCAGAGGCGCCACTGCAGTCCCAGAGCGGACCATGCCACGCTCACCCGTGCTCTTTCTCCTGCTCCTTCTAATGCAGCCGCAGCCGGCACCCGGCCTCGGGCTCCGCGGCGCGGGCGGCCAGAGCCCCGAGTGCGATCTGTGCCGGCCGGAGCGCTGTCCCGAGCCCGCGCGCTGCCCCGCGCCCAGCATCGCGGCGCGCGACGAGTGCGGCTGCTGCGCGCGCTGCCTGGGCGCCGAGGGCGCGAGCTGCGGGGGGTGGGCCGGCGTGCGTTGCGGCCCCGGGCTGGTGTGCGCGAGCCGCGCTGCGGGGGCCGGGCCCGAGGGCACTGGGCTCTGCGTGTGCGCGCAGCGCGGCGCCGTCTGCGGCTCCGACGGCCGCTCGTACCCCAGCGTTTGCGCGCTGCGCCTGCGCGCCCGGCAGGTGTCCCGCGCGCACCCCGGCCACCTGCACAAGGTGCGGGACGGACCCTGCGAATTTGGTGAGTCCGGCTTCTGCCCTGCACTGCTGGGGCGGGTAAAGAAAGAGGGACCCCGACCCTCTGGGCTGTGGGGTGAAGGATCACCCCGTGCACCGCGATGGACAGCACTACACGGGCCTCAGTTTTCCCTCGGGTCAGTTTTTCCTTACCTGGCCAGTTACTTAAGGAGGCCGGGGCAGGAATCCACATCCTGTACCCTTCCTTACCAAACCCACGGAGACACCAGCCACCGAGCTGGTCGTAACTTTGATGAGCCTGCTGTCCCTTTTGGTACTTAAGTAATTGCTGGTACAGTTATTTCCAGGCCTGGCATGTTTGCCCCCAGGACACTGGGAGTTTGGGGAGCAGGGTGTTCCTACTGGGTCCAAATCCCTGGGGTCCGGCCTTACCTGGTGGGGGGTAGGTTGTTTGAATGAAGAGGGAGGGCAGATGGAGATGCTGGAGGAGGGGGTGTGTGTGTGTGTGTGTGTGTGTGTGTGTGTGTGTGTGTGTGTGTGTGTGTTTAAAGGGAGGGGCCATGCGTGGTTTTATAAACATACAAAATTCCTGGAAAGATACCCAAGAACCTGATAAAAGGTGTAGCCTATTGAAGCTGGGAGGTGGGATACTGGGTCATAGGGTGGAAGGGAAGCCCTCATTTCATAGTTACATCCATTTTTAAACTTTGAAAATTTAAACTATATATTCCCTTTTTAAAATAAAACTTAGAAAACTACTAAATGCAAAATAAAAGAGCGCATCCTTCTGGATTAAGTGGAATAGTACCTGGAGCTAGCCTCGGATCCGGAGACCGTACATCCCATCATTGCTCTACCAGAGCGACCTCGGTCGGGCAAGTTCCCGCCCCGACTGGGTCTCCAAGAGCCCACTGGCTGTCGGAGAGCAGGTCTCAGAACACCCCTCCACCTCGGAACCCGGGCCGCGCTAGTCCGGGGCCTAGCTGCCGAGCGCGGGAGCCCCGCGGTGCAGGCCCGGCCAATCAGCGACTGCGAGGCGGGCGGGGTGTAGGCGCCGCGCTCGCTGAGCGGAGCTCCAGGCAGAGGCGCCACTGCAGTCCCAGAGCGGACCATGCCACGCTCACCCGTGCTCTTTCTCCTGCTCCTTCTAATGCAGCCGCAGCCGGCACCCGGCCTCGGGCTCCGCGGCGCGGGCGGCCAGAGCCCCGAGTGCGATCTGTGCCGGCCGGAGCGCTGTCCCGAGCCCGCGCGCTGCCCCGCGCCCAGCATCGCGGCGCGCGACGAGTGCGGCTGCTGCGCGCGCTGCCTGGGCGCCGAGGGCGCGAGCTGCGGGGGGTGGGCCGGCGTGCGTTGCGGCCCCGGGCTGGTGTGCGCGAGCCGCGCTGCGGGGGCCGGGCCCGAGGGCACTGGGCTCTGCGTGTGCGCGCAGCGCGGCGCCGTCTGCGGCTCCGACGGCCGCTCGTACCCCAGCGTTTGCGCGCTGCGCCTGCGCGCCCGGCAGGTGTCCCGCGCGCACCCCGGCCACCTGCACAAGGTGCGGGACGGACCCTGCGAATTTGGTGAGTCCGGCTTCTGCCCTGCACTGCTGGGGCGGGTAAAGAAAGAGGGACCCCGACCCTCTGGGCTGTGGGGTGAAGGATCACCCCGTGCACCGCGATGGACAGCACTACACGGGCCTCAGTTTTCCCTCGGGTCAGTTTTTCCTTACCTGGCCAGTTACTTAAGGAGGCCGGGGCAGGAATCCACATCCTGTACCCTTCCTTACCAAACCCACGGAGACACCAGCCACCGAGCTGGTCGTAACTTTGATGAGCCTGCTGTCCCTTTTGGTACTTAAGTAATTGCTGGTACAGTTATTTCCAGGCCTGGCATGTTTGCCCCCAGGACACTGGGAGTTTGGGGAGCAGGGTGTTCCTACTGGGTCCAAATCCCTGGGGTCCGGCCTTACCTGGTGGGGGGTAGGTTGTTTGAATGAAGAGGGAGGGCAGATGGAGATGCTGGAGGAGGGGGAGCTAGAGCTCCAGACTGGGACTCAGGAGTCAGGGGATCAGAGCACCAGGACTCAGTGAGTGTAGGGTGGTGCCCTGCTGGGAGTCTTGAGGAAGCTCCCACCCAGGACAGGTAAGACCTTGGGAGACCTAAGCTCTGAAAAGATTATGGTGCCATCAGGGACAGACCCAGGTTTTGTGAGGCTAAGGCTTATATAATTTGGAGGGTCCCACTTTAAGTAAAGTAATAGAAGATGATTAATTGCTTGGGACCTAGAAACATAAGCTTCATTCACATCACAATAAAACCATCTATGGGTGCCATCTTTGCTCACCCTCTATATGTAATTTAAAAAAAATCAAACAGAAATAAACCAAAATATCAGTATAGGGATGCCCAGCAAAGCACCCTGCTGGCCCATTAGCTTTTGGAGAAAAGCCCCTTGTCTAGGCTGCCTGTAGCCTAGAAAAGCCCCTTGTCTAGGGGCCAGTAGCAAGTTTAGGTGAGCTTGTGGCAGGAGAGTCCCAAGGAGCCCCAGCTTGGGGTTCTGGCCTGGGACTGGAGACCAAGTCCAGACCTAAATGTTTCAGTCACTGTAATGACTTCAGCTCCAACAAGGGAGCCTTGGGGGCGGGGGGGGGGGCAGCCTTTTCCAGCCTCGGGAAATTTCTAGTATTATTTCCCTGCAAGCATCCCAGTTAGATGCCCTCAAGTCCAGGAGACCCAACGGGTTGTTGGAGATGAGGCAAGAAGGCCCCTGTCCCTGGAAACTTGGAAATAATGTGCTGCCCACTGGGGGGTCTGAGGCAGCCCCCAAAGCACAGGAAAGTCACCGCTGGCTGTTCCTGGTTGGGGCTCGCAGTGGAGGAGAGAGCTGGCTGGTGTTTCCCTGGCTGCAGCCTTGGGCTGGTTCCTTCCAGGGGCTGTGTCAGCCCCTGTGGAGCCACCATAGAGGTTCCTCCACTTCAAACCTTTGTTTCTGCCCTGTGGCATTCAAACAGTCCTGTCTCCTTTCTTCTCATTCCTGTCACCCGCTTTTACAATCTGCTTTCCTCAGCAGTTAATTCACAGGCAGGTCTCTTTGTTTCCAGACAGGTAACACTTTCACTTCACATGCAGGAGACATGAGAAATGCTGACCAGGTCCCCAGACTCTAAGCGGTGCTGATGGTCTCAGATGATTCCTCCCTGGGCTGGTATTCTGTTCCTAAGAGACAGCTGCCTTGAAGGCACTTAGACCAAATCTGCTGTTACGCAGAGGAAACTGAGACCCATGGGGCAGGGGACTCATCCAGGGTGATCTGTAAAGCCTGGCTAGCTTCTGGGTCCCCGGCACCCTATTCAGTACTGTTTCAGGACAGGACTTGATAGTGTTAAGTCAGGCAGGTGGTGGTTGCCATGGTTACCAGAGTACGGCTAGATGGCAGATGGAAGCCCCATACCCCTAATTCATTGAAAATTACCAAATGACAAGTAAATGTGACAGCCCCTCCACTCTGATCTGTGGGCTCTGAGCCCACCCCAGGCACAGGCCCTGGGAGTAAAGATGTTCACGGGGCCAAACAGAGGCAATTCAGAAGCTGCTCTTAATGATCCCATTAGTGACAAGCGTCGGGCCTCCCCAGAATTTTGCTCTCCTTCCCTACCAGCAATGTGTCATCAGCCACTATCCAGACCCCGGCACTGTTTTCCCATTTCGTTTTGTCCTGAAATGTTTGTGTGGCCCCCCTGCCCTTGTGTCCTGGTGAAGCATGAAGGTGTGGACGGGGGATCTTTTCCAGCCAGGGAAGGCAGCACCTCATTCTGTGCTGCCCTCAAGCCATCCTTTATCCAGATGACTTGGCAGGAGCACTTTTTAACAATGCCCCTGGGGACCTCGCTTGAAGGGAAACAGACTGTCAGAGCAGCAGCTCTTCTGCTTCAATATTGGTAATAAAATCACCCCTCCTCAGTCCTCACCTGTGCCTTCAATAAGCAAGCACCTGACTTTAAGGGAATGAGGCCTCTGTAAATATTAGGTTCCCGCAGCGTGGGAAGTGTTCTTACCCATGCCTCTGAGGGGCATTTGGAAACAGTTTTCAGACTTAAATTCTGACCTTTCCTCCTACTCTCTGAAACGCCCCAAAATGCTAATGAGAGTAATCCTTTGATCAACACACATGTATTGAAGACCCACTATGTTCCCACATAAGAATAATTCTTTGCTGTTGGAAATCGCTTTTGCATTCCATCTTCTTCCTTGATTTTTACAACTACCCTGGCCAGGTCTCACTCCCATCTAATAGAAGGGCAAACTGAGGCAGGCAGGAGAGAATTCCCTGGAGCCACATGACTAGTTCCCAGCTGAGGTGGGGCTCCAGCCTGAGTTTTCCTGGCTGTTTTCAGATGGGGCCATGCACCTCTAGGACTCTGGCAACCTGATTAGGAAGCTGCTGCAAATTGGCTACCCTTGAATCTTCAGGGTTTCTCAGTCTGAATCTACCTTCCTTTTTTCCCCCAAGGCTTGTTGCTGGTTCCTCTGTTTAGCACCAGGTGATGGCTCCTGAGAGGAACAGGTATAGCTTCACAGAAGGGGAGGCATCTGAGAGGAGCCTTGAAGGATGGGTAGAAAATTCCTGGGTTGAGAAGGGGGGATGGGGAAGCACAGCACGAACGAATACAAGGAGGTAGGAGATCCTGGGGCGAGTGTGAACAGTGGACCCGTGGGCAGTACCCAGTGGGATGGTTGGCAGAGGAGATGATACCCAGAGTAGTCTGGGGCAGGCTTATTGCAGGCCTTGAGTGCCATGCTGCAGGGTGACGCTTCATTCTGTCCTGGGTTATTAGTTCCATTTCTCAACAGTAAGGTGGCATGGCACTGTTGTTACTATCAGTAACAATACTGTAATTGTTATTGTTATCATTACTTTAAAAGGCTGCTTTGGGGGAATTCCCTGGTGGTCCAGTGGTTAGGACTCCACACCTCCACTGCAGGGGGCATGGGTTCAATCCCTGTTCGGAGAACTAAGATCCTGCATGCCACGCAGCCAAAAATAAATGAAATAAAATAAAAGGCTGCTTTGTTCCATGTATGCACCCTGACTGTTTGCTAGCATTGGGAGGAGGTTGGGATCCTGCAGAACGCAGGTTGAGGTCGTGTTTTGAATGCTGCATTAAATAGGAACGGGGTCCTGTGCCAGTGCCCGTGGGGGCACTGAGCCCCTGAAGCTTCAGTGAGCTCTCGAGATCCAAAATCTTAGAAAATTCGCCTCGGTTTAAATTCCAGCTGCACTTAGAAACCTCAGTCTGTGCAAGGCGTGTGTTACCAGGTAACCAGGAGAGGCAGCGAATACCACTTTGTGAGAGGGACAAAGAAGGGGGGGCCTCGTGCTCAAAAGCTTTTCATGCCGAGGGAGGGGGCTTGAGGCATAGGCTGCAGGGAGCCGGATTAAGCTGTTTCTGGTTCCACATCCTCACGTTGACTATTAGCATAAATTATCAGGGCTGTTCAGAGTGTTGATTATTAAAGTCTTTGGTTGTGTGCTTTTTTCATACGAGCAGATGGGTTCCTGGCGGATGACTTCTGATTTTCTTTCCCGAGCGCCATTAACTTTAAAGAAATCTCAGAGGCATTAAGGAAGATCTTTCATTCCAGCCATCAAAGACACTCAGTTGACGGGGTGGGGGGACAGATCCCCACACACTTAGCAATATCGATCCCTTCCATTTGTATAGATCCACACGGTTAATAACACAGTCACATTCATTCTCTCCCTTCACCCCGGAGGATGTAGGGCCACAATCATTATTCTCATTTGCAGATAAGGAGGAAATTGTTAGCAGCTTGACCAATGGTTAGCGACAAGGCCTCTGGGCATTTGAGTTTCCCTTGGTGCTATTTGGCCCATCCCCAGTGCCCACCTGGGTGACTATTTTGTTACCTGATGGGTGGGTCTGTGCCATCCTAGCATTTCCAGGGCTGTTGCTGACATAAGCAGAAGGAAACAAGTGTTTAGCAAAAAGGAAGAACTAGGGAGACAAAGCTGGCACATTCACAGACTGGGCTGACCAGACACCATCCTCC